TCAGGGCAGGTCGGCCGCAGGGGACGCGGCCGACGTAGAGGTGGACATGAGAGAGGCGCAAAGCACCAGCCAGGTGCGGCGCGGCGCACTCATGCGCGGTGCGGCGTCCTCGTGCGCGATTTTGCATTACCCAAAATGGCACGCAGGAACTTTCGCGTACGGAATATGAGAATATATGCGCTGAGCGCCTCGGTGAGCCTCCTGCCAAATGGGGAGGATTTTGCGCGCCTGTTCTCCGGCCTCCGAAATTTGTTCGTGTTTGTTGCCAGCCGCCGCTGAGAGTTGAGGGGGAACACACTCGCTTATTATTGAACACGTGCTACGTTCTCGGATACGGTCTGTGCGCGCTACTTGACTTAACCTCTCACCCCTCCCACCTGAAGTCGCCCCCTCTAAACTCGAAGCGTGTGGTGGGTAGGAGCCTGGTCGCAGTGGTGGCCGGTGAAACGTTCGAGCATCTCCAGGACCCGGGGTCGATGTCATATATCACATGCGTGGGACCCTCCGGCAACTCAATCTAAACGCCGTGCGGGGGTGGCGCGGCTACCCGCGAGTCCGCGACACTCGTTCACGCGCTTGTTCAGATCCTGGAGGTGTTTGTGTTGGTAGGTTGCAATCAGCAGCAGCCAGTAAGCACACATTGATACTAGCTCTTGACCAGCGTGTGGCATAGGCCAGCGAACTACGGATAAATCAACAATGCAGGGGTGTTTCTAATTCGTTGCTTGATGGTTACATATGATTACACTGCGAGAGACAGCAAACAGACGCGACAAAAGAGTTTGGGGATAGGTGACTCTTGCCTCGAAGCCAAGTCCAGACACCAGAAACCAGGTACCAGACCTAAGAAGATGTAGCGGGATACTCGCCCGTTTGTAGCTTCGTGAGCAACGCCTTCAGCTCCGCAACATCCTCGGCCAGGCCGTTCGAACTGCCTGATGCGACGGCCTTCTGGTGGAACGCGCCGTCCCCGACAGTGACAACGCCATCGTCGTCGGCCAGCCACTTGTCCAGTTGGGCCTTGATGGAGTTCGCTTTGAGTCGGTAGTGCGTGCGGATGACGTCCGCCCAAGGCTCTGGAGGGTTCTTCAAGTTGCCGAGCATCTGCGGATGACATCAGGACCTGCAAGCAGCACGAATGAGAAGACATGGGACATACCGCAGTCCTCACCACCATTCGACGGATGTTCGCCGAGTCTAACCTCCCGCTTTAGCACGTGTCCAAGTAGCTGATAAGTCTACTCACATGCAACAGACTTGGGACTCCCGCTGCTAGCCGCCCAGCCAGGCTCGTTGGTGTACGGCTCTTCACATAGGATCATGGACTGAATCGAGATGAGCACCTTCAACCAACTGTTAGCACGGTCGGACGAGTGATGTAGACGTGGATGTATGTACTTGGAGCAGTGTCGACTTGCCGGGTATCCATCCCGGCCCAGACCAGGTGCCCAGGAGCGACAGGCAGACCTTGCCATCCTGTCGGCGAACGTCAGACGCTAAGTAATCGAATGTAAGAGGTGACGTACCGCGTATAGGTTGGGGTTGAAACGGTACTTCCCGCCATTGGTCTGCGATGACCACGTCAATGCCGCCCCCCGTGCGACGTCGTGCGACGTCGTGTGACTCACCGTCATATACTTCACACTGGGCGGCGACTGGTTGTAGTTCGGACCCAAGAAGACGTCAAACAAGAAGCTACCGTGGATCAGATGGTGCATTTAGGATGATAGCTCAGGCAGCATACCAGCCGTTGTAATACCTAAACGAGACACGTTAATTTGCCATGAACACGAGCTACCGATGGATTGAAAGCGACGTACGGAGTCCCTTCCGGCCCAGTGATGAGAGCCTTGATGACGTCCACCCGCGTCTCGTCCACACGCAGGAAGATCGAAGAATTCCAGGCGACCGGTAGGTTTGTGGTAAGAACGGCAAGCTTTCACGAGGCCTGGCTGAGTGATCCGGCGGGCAAGCACGACCGCAACGACGGCTACTCACCTCCTTCGCAATGGCCAAGGATCGCTTCGGGATATCGGAGTTGGCGAGCATGCGAGCCTCGTTGTTGAAGTAGAACTTGTAGTTTGGCGTCAGATCCTCGTCACCCGTTGCGTTCGCGGGTGCGGGGACAGTGAGGTCACAGTACTCGAAGCGGACGCGACCCGCCCATTTCATGTAAGCTTCCATCGCGCTCTCCTCGGTCTCGCCGGCATTGACAGGGGCGCCATCCCCTTGGTTTGTCGTCGTACCGGGAATCTTCGGGAGCGCGGCATGGAGCCGGTCGACAAACGCCTTGCCCTTGGTCTCGACGAGCGACCGGTCGATCGCGCTCGCAGTGTTCATGATGCGCTGACAGAAGGTGAGGAGCTTGCGGTTCTCCTCCGACGTGACCGCACCATCGTCCTTCGCCTTGCCCTTCTCGTCGGCGGTCATACGCTTCTGTTCCTCGGACATCTCTGTGTTCTCCACCTCGGCAACCTTCATACCTTCCAAACCTTTGAGCGCAGCCTGTGCCTGGATGACGATGGCTTCAAGAAGTTCGCGCGGCCCGGAACTACCTTCGTAGACGATGGTACGTTCGCGAATCCGAGGACTGCCTTTGGAGGTAGACTTCTTCCCGGCAACAGCCTTCACGGACGTCACGACCATGATAGGCATAGCCATCATACTAGCGAGGGCTTCGTGGCTGGAGATCGTCTGTGGATGGCCTCCATGTCAGGTACGTCCATAAATTGTCTGGGGAGATGGAAGGCTACCTCTAGCCACTCGAAGAGCTCGAAGTACAGTATAGAGCGATCTGACATGTCGGTCAAAGAGTCATTGCGCAGAAGCTGGCTGCTGACGAAGTTGAACCGTCGGCGGAGATGAGCAAGTGCGGTTGGGTGCACCAGGTAATCACTGGAGTGTCCTCCGTTATCTCGATTGACCGACGGGAGGAACGTGCGGATCTGTGAGAGCAACGAAGCCAGCTTCTCGTCTTTGTTGCGTTGAGCGTTCATCGCCTCGAGTTGTCCTGTCATCTGAGGACGCGAAGCGATTAGTCGAAAAGTTTGCTATTGTATCACGCTTAACCTACGTCTTCCCTGGCATCGCCGGCGTAACCTGTGCCTAGCTTGGCCTTTTTGCCTTGAACGGGGACCGTGAAGTAGGCATCGTCGTCATCATACTCGTCGTCGTTCATGTCAGGCATCGCAATTGGCGGGGCCTCCATCTTACGCTTCTTCCTGATTGACCGGTCTTCAGATTTCGAGCTGGCGGAGGCGTCTTGGACCTCATCTACATAGGCCTTCTCAAGAGTAGCCAGTCCAACACCTAGGATAGCGCCTTGCAGGTTGGCGCAATGGAAGAGCGACGCGTCAACGTCGAGAGGGCCCGGAACTTTGGTGTGGCTAGGCGTGCTAGACTCTCCGCAAGCGAAGCAGAAGGTCTTGGAACATTGACTACACGTCCGGGGCACTATTGACCGCAAGTGCTTGATGTATGCGGGGAATGTCGGCTTCAAAAAAGTGAGCGATGATTGCTGACAACGGTAATTGTGCACCCACGAATAGCACGAAGAAGTCGCTCTTCTTGCGCTTGACTGACGCGCCGCAGCCATGTGGACACGGGCATTCGCCTTCGCTAAGTTCCCTGTAGAGGCTGAACAAAAAGCTCTGTTCGCTGCCCTCTGGGCAGCCCTTCATCCACTGCCCTTGCGTCATCAAAGGTACCTTCTCGCTACCACCAGACATGATGACCATCTCAGGTTCTTCCTCTACTTCAATGACCTCTTCTCGTCGGTCCTTGGAGAAGAAGATGCCTGGTCATATGTTCACGACGAGTTTAACGCGACTGAACCGAATCTGATAACACACCTGCGTATGGATCGACGGCTGCTCCGTTAGACTCGCCGACTTTCTCCTCGAAGTCGGAGTCATAGTCATAGTCAATATAATCTTCGTCTGCGAACCCACTACATGAGCTACCGCAGGTACCTGAAGAGAGAAACGCGTACCGTCACCCTCATCCTCGCCTGCATCTGATGCTGGGTCATCGTCTTCCTCGTCGTGGGGTGTCTGGGGTTGTAGCATGGTTTATCGGACGTGCATACCCAAAGGTACGCAACATACCATCATTCTTGGCTTCTGCTGAACAGTCTCCGCGGAGGACATGGGCACATCGCCGTCCTCGTCGACAATATGGTCGAAGCTCCCATCAAATATTCGTTCAGCTGCTTCCATAACATCTCTATGTTGCTTGAGGGCCGCCCGCGCCTGGGCAATTGTCGCGCCCTGCAACACCGCGGTGAGTGGCGTACAGCCAACGCGACAAGCTGAAGCTACCATTTCGACGAGCTGTTGTACTTCCCGCTCCATCTTGATGCAAGCGATAGCACGCGTCCAGCAGATGTTCCACGAGTGGAGGGCCGAGGATTTGCTCTAGAGTGTTAATGTGGTACGGGACGAAGGAGAGACGGCCTCTTGGAAGGTTAAGCACGCCCCTAAACGGGTAACCAGGATTACGTCAGCCAATGTTATGGTCCAGGCGTTGCCTCGTGGCTCTCAACCTCCTCCCTCGGCACTTGCTGCAGTCTCACCTCCAACATCTCGCGTCGGGTTAGAACAATAGCGATGCTCATCCGACCGATGAAAATCGATTGGAACTACAAAGAACGGTATTTCAACGGTATGAATGGTGCCGTTAGACAGTTCTCGCTGCGGAAATTCCCACTAGTCACTGACAGTTTCCTAGAGTTTTACGTTGTTGTGAATTCTGCGTCTACCTAGAACGCGCCCATGAGCTGCCTCCACGAAAGTGTGGCTTAATTGGCGCTAATGCCACCGAGCCGATCTACGTTCTCTCAGAGTGAGAGCAGTACTACACATCGGCTTGCCTGTCAATGCTACGCCGCGGTCGGTCTACTAGTACGCTGGGTGTCCGGTCAGGGCGTCCGACGGTTATTCGCGGTTTCACCGAGGTATTGTGTGCATGTTCCCATGGGAATCTCACGGAGGTCAGTTTGCTTCCGCTGGCCACCATATCCATTGAGTCTCCTATCTCTGACGCACAGTTACAGGAAATGGAGCAACATTTCCGCTCTGTGATTTGCCTCCGTTTCATGAAGCCCAGACGCAAGATGGTCTTGCTATTTGCAATTGGGCATGATGATTATCGACGCGTTGCTAGTGACGTGGGTGCAACCAGTCATCTCGTGGCAAGTCATTACTCGTCCACTCCAAGCTTCCGCCCCTAGGCCGCGTCTCCTCGGGCACTGCACAACTGATTTCCGCACACCAGAGGCTTCAAGAAAGGGGTAGAATGAGGATCACATAGGCCTCGCAGCGTCTCATACTTTACCCGGCATACCTTTCGAACATTCCACTCCGGCAGTATGCGTTGGATGCGAATATGCTCCCAATGGAAGCCCGAGAGAACGGAGTTCCTGGAGCCGTGTGGATGCTCGGCACGCAGTGGCCTTAACGTCGCGCTTGTACCCTTGTCTCTCTGTCTCTTCCGCCGCTACGTGCCATGAATCCCTATGCTATCGACTTGTCAGACGACGAGAGCCGGAAGTCTCCTGCTGAGCAGTCGAGCGCGGGGGACACCAAAGGGCGACGGCGAAGCACACGAGGTACGAGAACTCACCTGCTCGGAGACGCGCTCTGATTGCGACTGCCTACCAGCGTGCGATCATTGTCGTCGTACAAAGAGCAAATGCGGCCAGCCCACAGGCGGTCCAAAGCAAAGGAGCTGCTTTGCTTGTGCGGCATTAGGCTTGAGTACGCTTATAAATCTGAACGTTTGAACGATCCTCATTGTTACTGATCTCCTCGCGCAGCATGCACTTTCACCGGTCAGTACCCAATTCATGGACAGTTAACTGGCGCTCCTAACGCTCACCCAAACGTCTCGCTGCAGACCCTACTCACAAAAGAGGTCCGCCCAAAGGGTGAGCACGGGTAATGCGTTCCCGGCCCGTGCTCATTCATTTACATTCTCAGGTACATTCTCGCCCTCGAGCGGCGGCTACACCAGGTAGAGGCGCTCCTAGGGACGATCATCAGCTCCGACGATCCCCGCGCGCGGAGCCTCGTACAGGACCTCTCCCGCGACAAGCTTGCCAATCATGTCATCAACAAGGTACACGTTGGCCCCTTCGGTCCCGCGGGCAGGGAGAAACATCCGTGAGTGAGACGCCGAATCTGCCACTTGCATTACGGCTGAAAAGTCACTAGTTTCGGCTCGACGAAAGAGGACTTCCTTGCCTCTATCAGCGGCGATTTGGGAGACAACGCGTCCGAGCAGTCTGGTAGCAGTCAGGATGCGCAAAGTATGTCTTTCATTCGCAGAGCTGTTGCCGTGCGCTCAACACACAACCTGCAGATGATCCCGCATTCTTCACACCCAGTAGCGACTGGCAAGACAGCATGAAGAGCCTTTTGACCGCTGCGAGAGCCGAGGCGGCAATGGCTGCATCGGTCGCGTCCCCACCACCAGACACGAAGCCAAGACGCGCTACCTATCCGTCGATCAACTCTGGTCATATTCCCATTCCCTACATGCAAGCGTACTACGAACCTCAACCGCCCCCTGCCCTCTCCGGCACGTCTGTATTCTATGATCAGCATCACTCCCTGGTGCAAGCTAGTGCTATGAGAAGTAGCGGTTCGTACTCCCTCTTAGTTGCCCTCATTCCCACCTGACGTTCACCGCCTACATGACTTTAGCACAGTCATACGGCACAGGCCCATTACCCACGGTGGGCAACGTCTACACAGACCAAGATGGGCGGGTGAGTAACAGCAGCTGAATACGCCATGCACGTACTGACGCGCCGCTAGTTCCGATTGGACACTACACCACCAATACCACAACAGCCTCTGGACGGGCAACCTACCCCACCGTCAAATGCTGCAGATGACTATTACTCCTCGTTTCATAGGTAGACAGGGTTAAGGCTAGAGCGTTTTCACGGGACATTATTAGGACAATACACAGTCTTCCAAGAACATGGTGCATACATCAATGTCGACGTACAAGACTATGTCAGGTAAGATAGGTTCCGTGACGGATACAATATGAAAACGGTATACTACGCGGCTGTATGCTACATTATCTAGAGTATCCTCCACGATAGCGCGGCCCCCGCGAGGATTGGTCGCGGTCGTAGCGGTCCCGCGAGTGGTTCGACCCGCCGTACCTGTCCTGCTTCTTCGAAGCACCCCGGATCTGGATCGAGTCCGTCTCCCGCGAAGGGCCCGGCAAGTCGTCGTACGAGACCCGCTGTCGCTTCGAGTCGCGTCCGCCGCCGTCTCTGGACGTCGACGAGTGCGAGAAGTCGAAGCGGATCTTCCCATTCCCGCCTCCGCCTCCGCCCCCGTTCGCCTTCGAGCTGTTAGCTTCTCGATCGCGACGAGAGCTCTTTCCACCGCCACCGCCTCCCCCACTGTGGCCGCCCCCACCGCCGCCTCCACCACCCCGGCCTCTTGCCCGAGCGCCCCCGAACCAGTCATCTTCGTCATTTTCCTCCTCGATTTCGCGCGCACGACGCTCCAAGCGAGCGCGCTCTTTCTTTCGGCCTTGCTTTCCGACCTCCATTGGCACGACAGAGCCGTGCCCATCGGCAAAAGCGTCGGCAGTCTCCCAGTCCCGCGGGGCACGCTGAGACGGTCTTGATGCTTCGGAGGAGAACGGCCCGGACAGAATGTTGTAGATGCTGAATGCGGATGGCTCACGAGGAGCGTCGAACATTTTCGGGCGGTCATTGCAGTCCTGTGGGCGGTCGGATCAGCACGGGCAGTCACAATGAATTTGTAGAACGTACATCGCCCAGATGTCCGCTGCCGCCACAGTTGTAACACCATTCGTCGGTGGCGATGTACCCTTCGCCACCTTCGCCTAACGCTAGCGTACGTTTTGCGTCCCGCTCACGAAGGATCTCATGACGCTCCTCGTCGGCGACGTACTCGTATATTCGCCATAATGTCGGGCATTCCTGCTTGCCGTTAGCTAATGAAATGGAACCGGCATCGCGCAGGGGCACTCACATTTGTTTGATGTGTGCGCGCTCCACATCTATCGCAGTCTTGATAGTGGCTGTATGCGCCGGCGCGGGTCGCGGCGCGGTTGGGGCATGTCTGGATGATGGCATTAGTACACAGCGTATGAAACATGTCACCAAACGCACCCTGTTGATGTGCCCCTTCATACCGCAGGTAAAGCAAGTCTTGCTAATGGGGCAGCTCCGGGTCGAGTGTTCGTCTCGTGCGCCACATGTTAGACACTGCGTAGAAGGCGTCAGTACGATAGAGCAAGACGCGGGATCGGAGAGCCGCTCACAATGAGGACAGGACATTCGAAAGTCTTGTGCTCCCCCTCGGCACCGCAATTCTTACAGACGGTCTTCGTAGGTTTCGAGGCATTCGCCTCAGAGGCTGCGAGCTTGTCCAATTCCCAGTATCTGACCATTCCCGCCTACACAGATGGATGCATTGAGCGGAGACAAGGCGCAACCTCTGGATTATACACGTACCCTCCTGTCATCGCCATAGTCCAGGTACTCGATGTAGTCCTCGTCATCGGAACCCTCGGGCGTAGGCACCTTGAGCGTGCTAGTGTTTGCATCATCTCCATTCTCGGCAATAGAAACATGGGCAGGGAGCAGTAGACCGTCCGCGTCCTTTTCTTCCGCGCCTGTCCCATTGCTTGGCCCGGTTTGTGGAACCAGGTTGGATGGTCCTGCGACGTTCTCTCGGACCTTCGCTATGCTCGGCACTTCGGTTGGGTTGACGTCCTCGAAAAACAGAGGTGTGCTGGATTCGGGGGCCTTGTCCCTCCTGCGGCTGTCGCGATCCTGCGAACGCGACCGCTTTCGAGAACGCTCGCCACCGCGGTTACGGTCGCGTTCTCGGTCTCGAGACCTGCTCCTTCTCCGCTCGCGGTCCCTGTCCCTGTCTCGGTCGCGGGCTCTGTCTTCTTCCTTCTCTCTTTCCCGGTCGCGCTTCCGCTCGTTCCGCCGTTTCTCCCGCCTGCGCTCTCCCGCATCCTCTCGTCTGGTCGCCCACTCCGGCTCGACCAACCTCTCCTTCAATGTCTTCTTCTTGTCGTCCCGTGGAGATGGCGGGCCCGCGCCGTTCCCATCAGCACCCATTTCTTCAATAATTAGCTCGAGGTCGTCCACGTTCGGGCTGTTGCGCGAATGCGGACGCGACACCTCCGCACTGCTCGTGCCGACTTCGCCTTCCTCCAACTCGCCCCTGCCCGTGGACTTGCGCTTTCGCTTCCTCCGCTTCTTCTTCGCCTGGTCGGGTTGTGTTGAGGCCGGTGCGCTGCCCGGGTCGGCGGGGGTACGCGCATCGGGAACCAGTTCGCCGTCCGAGTTCAGTTCGATGACATCTGGTTCCGTGAGGTCGATGATCTCGGCGTTCTTGGGCTGCGACGCCATATGAGGTGGTGTGATGTTTCCCGTGCGTGCCCCGTTGTGTGTTGGCCGCCACTGAGGGAAGACCGGAGCAGCGTGGAGGGATTACCGCAGCGGACGGAGCAATTGTGCGAACGCGAAGCAAAAGTTGAAAGACGCGCTTACCCAATTTGGGCATACAGACCATTCACATAATTAAGCGCTCACGCGATCGTTAGCATGACGCGCGTATTGGCGCCCCGATGCACCTTTCCTCTTGACTCGAATCTATCGGACGACTCTTGCTGAGGACTATTCTGGGGCTTGTGCACGTCGAGTATAAAGCTGCCGCTCATCTACTGGACTGGATCCAGTCTTCTTGTTCTGAGCAGCCATGGCGACCCCGGCATATGAAATATCCATCGACCACTTGACATACGCGCACGTCCGCGACGCCTCACCGTCGCTGTCCGACGTCAACGTCCACTTGCCGAAGGGATCGCGGACGATATTGGTGGGAGCAAATGGAGGTACGGAGTCCCACGTCGCTGAGAGACACGCGTGCTTACGGCTGCGGGCGATTCAGCGGGGAAGTCGACATTGCTGCAGATCCTCGCGGGCAAGCGACTCATATCCGCGCCCGGTACCGACGTGCGTATCAAGGACAAGGATGTGTTTCGCGCCACGCCCCAGGGCATCACATTTCTGGGCACAGAGTGGTGCGTCATCGTCTCCGCTTGCATCAAACATCGTGAGCTTCCGTGGTACCTGAAAGGATGCAAGAGTTTGTACCGACCTGCGGGTGTCACGAAATCTTTGTCTGCTTGGGAAACTGTGGCTTTTCATAGCAGCAGGTTCTTGCATCCCTCGAGGGTTCTTGGAATTTCACGATGTTGGCCGTGTCCTCTCTGCCGTTTAGTTCTGGTATCTAACTTTGTACCTGATAACGCTGTGCAGGGCGATGAACCCGGTCGTGCGCGGCGATATCGTGGTGTCAGATTTCCTCAACTCCGTAGGCGGTTACCGGCACAAGGAGCGACGGGATGTCCTGCTGGACATCTTGGATGTCGACCTGGACTGGCACATGCACCAAATATCTGACGGCGAGCGGCGCCGAGTACAGCTCGTCATGGGCCTGATGGCAGATTGGGACGTGCTTTTGTTGGATGAGGTACAGCCCTAGGCTTCGCGGGGCTAGACAAACGGCGCGCTGACAGTGCCGCCGGCGGGATTTGACAGGTGACTGTAGACTTGGACGTCCTCGTCCGGGATGATCTGTTGAAGTTCCTTAAGAAGGACTCGGAGACGCGCGGGGCGACCATTCTGTGTGAGCACCCGTCCTATGCGCGATCTATCTTTGCGCTGGTACTAACTTTGGATACTGCGTTCTTGAAGATGCGACCCATATCTTCGATGGGCTGAATGATTTCCCCACGCATGTTGCGCATATGCATCTGGGGACGTTCTTGATGGAGCCTACGTCGTGGCCATTCACTGGGCCGTCGACGGCAGGAATCACGTCTGTCGACCTAGGCCAGAACCCAACCTTGTACGCGCTCGCACTGCAGTGGCTGAAGGAGGACCGTGACCGGCGTCGCGCGCTGGAGGGGCAGGGCCGGAGACAGAGAGGCGCGCGCAAAGACGATGTAAGCTGTTTCAGCATCGCGCATCGTCTGTACCAGTGCTAACCGCTGGGATGAACACAGGTGCCCAATGATTCGGAGACGTTTTACAGAAAGTAGGTGGTATAGCCGAGATGCTTTGCAGGTTTGAGACTAACGAGGGTGTTGGCAGATACGACTACAGTCACTGATGGATAGATTCGTCCGACTGGCCTCCGTGTTCAACCTAGAGGCCGGACGTGGGTGCAATTGGCGTCTCGTGTTCAACCTGCGGACTTGGGGTTCTATCTGCGGTCTTCGTGTTCAACCTGATGACCTCTGGGAGAGGAAGATGTATCGATAGCAGCTGTACTGTATTGCTCAACCAATGGACTGATGTGCGAAGGCTTCGAGTGTCTGCGGGTGATGGGCGGCATGTGCGTGTGGTCCTTGCGGGGGGTGCCAAGAGCCGAGGGCGGGGACGCCGGGTGTGACAGGAACGTGATGGGTGTGACCAGCGTGGATACTGGATCGCGGGATAGACGCCGAGGGGCAGACTGCGACCGCGGCCAACACTCGAACGCTGTTCTTTGTCTCTCCGACACCGTTCGCACCGTGCTGGCCATCGCAGGGCGCGACTTTCTCCTTCTCTCGCCCCCTCGCAGTCTCTCTTAGTACCCCCACGCTCCTTTCCTCTCTTCTCTTTGCCAACCATGTTCGACCAGGCCCCCCGTCGCTTCCACCCTCGCCAGACTACCAATCAGACCGATGCCCAGGGCTGCCTCATCTGCCCGGACGACGCAACCAATGGCTGCAATTGTGCCTTCAACCAGCAGTGTATCCTTATCAACCGGTACGACCTCCCTTGCTCCCCTTCATATCTCGGTCCGCAGCTCAACATGCGGCCTCGGCCCTCATTAGCGATTGCAATACATGCGCTTATATGAGCTGCATCGCGAACGATGACACTTCTAGCACCTCCTCCAAGGGTGGTGTCAGCAAGGGAGCAGTCGCTGCAGCCGTCGTCGTGATCATTCTCGTCTTGGCTGGTGCCGTCGCAGCCTTCTTCTGGTACCGCAGGCGCCAACGCCTGCAACGGAACACCGCCCCCGAACAGGAAAACAAACCCGATGTGCCAGCCCGTGCGGAGGACGTCCTCGGTAGGGAAGACCCCCACGAGAAGGTCACGTCGCCGCCGCCTCAGCTCTCCAGCATCAGAATTTTCTCTGGCTCATCCAATGGCACCATTAACCTGGACCCCGCAGCATCTGACGCGGGCCACTCTCAGCCCTCGCAGCGCGGTTCCGTCCAGTCAAACCCCTTCGAAGACAACCACTCCATCCAAACCTCCTCTACCGGCGCCCAATCAAACGTCATTCCCATCGCCCTTGTCCCTCCTGGCTCAGTTGGCAACTCGTCGGTCACTTCGGCGAACTCCCACACACACGACGGCTATAATGCCGCTCACGTTGGTATGCACGCGCGCTCCGATGTAAACCTGGACCATGTCAACGTCTCCAACGACTCGCTCACTCAGCGGGGTGGTGCTTCCAACGCTGCGTCTGCGCGCTCTGGTGTAAATGACAACACTACCTACAACAACAACCGCAGCTCGTACATGACCACTGGCAGCTTCGCAAGCGACTTCTTGGAAACGTCTGTGATCATTACTCCCACTCGTGGCACGGTCAAGCAGGTCGTCGGTGTCGCCAAGGCTGAGGTTTTGCATGCTTCGCCCAGCGACTCTCTTAGCCGTTCGTCGACCCTCTCCAAGGCACGTTCGCCGCTCGCAGCGTCCAGCTTCGGCCCGGCCGATGTCATGCAGGAGGCCGAGGAAGAGCAGGAAATCACCGCACCAGCGAACCCCTTCTCGGACAGCAACTCGCCTTACTCGAGGTCTTCCCCTACGCCCTCGGCGACCACGTTCGGCACCCCGGAACCTTCGCACACCTCGTACAGCCGCCAGTCGCAGCAGGACGCAAACTGGCTCCAGGAGGACCCCGCCCATCTGTACGGCCACTCTTCCAACGACAGCCGCCCTGCCAGCGTGTACACGCAGGCTTCCGCGATCATCGCAGACATTAGCAGCGCGAAGCGCGTCCACCTCGGGTTCGATCAGATGCAGGGGATGCCGAGCACGCCCCTCAGTGCTGCTCTGAGCACTCCCCGCTCGAACTACCGCATGACGAACGCGAAGCTTGTCTCCCCCGTTGTGCAGCACAGCGCGGCGATCGAGACTGGCGGCAGCGCCAACGCGGGTGCGCTCGAGCAACAGCAGGCCCGTGCGCTTCAGGAGCTGGCTGCGGAGTCGGGCAAGAACCGTATGTCGATGGCGTCCGTCATGACCACGTCGACACGCGCAGACTCGATTCTCGAGAGCTTCCCCTTCGTGCCTCCGTCCCCGATCTCCAACCGGCCCATCCGCACGCCCCCGCGCTCGCCGCTCACGCAGCAATCGTTCGCCGGCGGCGCAGCGCAAGACGACCACCACGTGTCTGCACAAGAGACCGTGAACCGTGCTCGTGCGTCCGCGTCGTCGTCGTCGATGCTCTCAGCGCTTGCGCCGCCGAACCGCAAGGTTCTCGGCATGAGCGTCTCGTCGCAGAGTTCGACGGTGAGCAACGGTCTCGGCTCGTTCACGTTCCAGATCGACTCCGGCACGTCGGACAGCACTCCCTCCTCGCCGCCGCCGTCTGCTTACTCAGGCAGTGACGGGTCGAGCATGCGGAAGCGCGCCAGTCTGGACACGCTTGCGCTCACGAGCGACCTCTCATCGTACCCGCTCGGCTTCGACAAGGGTAATGCTCCCCCGTGCCCCAGGTGCCGCGGCGGTAAGCAGTGCCGCTGCTCCCCGCCATGCGCGTTGTGCTACTGAGTCTGGTGTACGATTATACCTGTCCGGACGTGTCGTGTAACTGGAAGACAAACTCCCTCCCCCTCCCTCCCTCCCTCCCTCCCTCCTCCCCGATCGCCTTTGCCCTGGTCTGATTCTACAGCCTGGTTGACCCGGGCGAGACTCTTGCCTACGATAGCGGCTGTCGTCCCCTTTCCCGTACGTGCCGTCCCGATATGCCCCTCTGTACGTCTGCTCTCTCTGTTCTCTACCTCCCTAGACCCGGTTGACTTATCTATCTTATCTTTCTCTATTCTACTTTGCTCTCGGTAGCTGCTCTCCCCCCTTCCGCTTCCCATGCCCCCTCCTCCCTTCCGTGCCCCGTAGCTACCTGCCCGCCTTCGCCCCCTCCTCCGCCTTGCGCCGCCGCGCCCTTTCGCTTCCCGCGCCCGGCGGCGCTGTCCAGCTTTGCCCCCTTCGAAGTTCGCTTCGGCCCCCCGGTGTCGGCGCCAGCGCCGCAGCGTCCTGTGGCCGCGAGCCGCCGCCGCGGATTCTGTGTCTGGGTTGGTGTTGTGATTATTTATGCCTTTGCCCGCCGCCGCCCCGCGCGGCGCTGCCGGGCTTCTCTCTCTCCCCCGTGCCTGTCTGTGTGTTGTGGTTGTGTCGATACCGGGAACGGTCGGGCGTGCGGCGCCTTTGGCGGCGGCGGCGGCGACAGCGAAAATGGACACTTTCTGTGTGGACAAACTCCCGAGTCGCTCCTTTCGTCGTTTCTGCCCGTTCGTCTGGACCATGTGAACGTGCTCGTGCTGTGCTCCTGGAGAGCATCGGAGGCCGTCGCTGTGGTTTGTTAACTATTGGATTACAGAGTAGATGTGGAATACTGGGTTGGGACGTCTATATACAAAATGAGTACACGTACATCCGTGCTGCTGCAGCTGCCAAAATTGCGGTCCTAACGTGAGGAGATATGAGTACGCCCGTAGTACGTGAATGCGGTATCGAAATGCGGAGGCAGAGACGGTCTAAGTGCGGGAACCCTATGAAGCAATGTGGGACAGACGGTGAAGGTCGAAGGAGAGCGGTATGTACAGCGAAATGAGGGGTGGGGGTATAGTAATACACGATATACAAGATAGAGGGGCATTCTGAGCCTAGCGTGGCACACATACATCGAGAGTTGAATATTGACAGTTGAAGTCCGCGATGAACTGGGGCATTGTCAGTGGGAAGGAACTACTTCCCCTTGCCTCCCTTTTTCTTCGTCTTCTTGCCGCCCTTCTCTTTCGCCGTGGCGTTAGTCGTCCCGCTCAATGCTGAGACTCCTGGGGACGGCGCGCGTGCGACGTCGGGCACGATGGGGACAGGGTCGAAGCCGCTAAGATGATCCATTGAGATGATAGGAGACCTGTGTGCGGACGGTCATCAGCTGTTGTTCAGGCCCACGCCAAATGTGGTACTTACGTGGGCATCGGGATAATCTGCACTGGCGGAGGCGGCGCCGGCTCAGGAATCGGGATGGGTATGACAGGCTCCGCAGACGGCAGCCCCGTGGTGTACTGGCTGGGCGACGACAGATACCGACCGCCCGCGCCCCTGATGATCGGCGACCGCGTTTCGTGGTCAATTTCGGAGAGGGTGCGCTCTCTGCCGACGACCGACGACCTGTGGTTGAGCGTAGGCGCAGTTCCGTATCCGACGGTTGACTCAGACGGGCTGCGTGCGGAGCCCACAGCGGACCCGGCCACGGATGGGGGAAGGGGCACTCGCGCTGCACGGTTGGAGTGCGAGCCGAGGCTGGAGTTCGCGGCCGAACGAGGTGTAGGCGGTACAGGGTACGCAACCCCACTTGGGTTGGGTGCAGCAGCGTACGACGGCGTAGACCGACCGGAAAGCTTACGTGTGCGGACGGGCGGCGTCGTGAGCGAGTCCGACGAGCCAAGGCTCGACGACACCACCGAGTCTGTGTCGTCGTCCCGGCGGGAGACTTTGGAGCGCGAGTAAGGCTCTGCAGCGCGGCGGCTTGATCCAGACTGCGAGCTCCTGGTTGACGGCTGTATCGGGATGACAGGGGTAGGCCCTTCCATACCTGCAGGGAAGGATCCGGGAATTGGCACTTCGGACCGACCCGACGGGGTGCCGCCAATGGTTGACGGTGGAAGTGGCACGCCCGCAGGCCCAATAGTGCTGCCCCCGTAAATCGACGAGGTCCCACCGGGCTGAGCGGGAGAGGGCGGGCCTGTCGGTATGAATCCCTGAGGTGGCCAGGGACCGCTGAGCATCACTGGTGGTGGAATAACAGGGTTCGTCGGAGCTGTTGGTTGCCCGCCCGACGTATCAGGAGCACCGTCTGACGGGAGCGGGGGCAAAGGGCGATCGGCATCGTCAGCGCTCAAGAAGACGCCTTGCATGGCCTCCATATCCTGGCGCGATATGTTGGATTCGGGGCGAGACTAGGTGGAGATGGTTAGCTACGACGATACCGGCAACAAAATTGTACGATAACTTACGGGTGGGACGATCGTGAAGTTGATTTCGTTAGAGGACATGCTGCCGCGGTTGGAGGCTGGTTCAGGAGCTGGCGGCCGCAAGCTCGGCTGCGGGGCCACTACTGGGATCGCTGGTGAGTCCGGAGACGAGTGCGGTGACCGTGGAGGTGCATATATGTTCTGCACGCGCGACGGGTTGTCCACGCTCGGTCCCCTTCCGAGATCACTGCGCGAGCTGCTCCGGGTGAGGTTGTCACGGCTGGGATAGCCACGCACGCTGCCTGAGCGAGATGCGCTATCCTGGTATACATTGCGCGGTGGATCTGTTCGGTCAGAGCGAGCACGGCTGTCGGGCCTTTCGTAACGTGGAGTAGCGTCTGGAGGAGCGGGACGATACAGGCTCTCCGTGGTTGGATTCCGTGGGGTGCGATCTTCCGGACGAGAACGATAGTAATTGTCCGTATTGCCGTAGCGGTGGGCATCATCAGTCGTGCTGGCCGACGACCGAGAACGGAGTTCGGGTACAGCATATCTGTGATCTTGTGTACTGGACCTTGCGAGACTGTCGGTGCTCCTATACCGCCCCATACTCTCTGGCGTCGGGTACGGAGGATTGGAGGGAGGACGATGTGGGGATATCGCAGGATATGTCGGGTTCGGAGGTGGCTGCTGTGGAGAAGGCATAGGTACGTTAGGACGCGGGGAAGGCATCTGAGGGGCCGGGCTTGGCATCTGGAAGCTCTGTGTGGACATCTGCTAGACAGATCAGCAGCCATTTGTATCAGCATGTAATGTATGTGCTCGCTCACGTTGGGCATCCCGTACACAGGAGACGAGACTGAGGATGATCGTTCCCGTTCCTCCTGAATCGCGCTCAAAACTGGAGCCCGCTCCCTCGCCGTGCTCCTGTGCGTCCCGACAGTCGAAGGAGGCCCGAGGATCTCGAATTGAGACATTGTAGTCGATTGAGACTCGTCCGAGTTTCTACGTCTGTGCCTTGGTCTCCGTGGAGCGCTGCTATGATCACCCTCCGGCATCCGCATGCTGTATCCTCCAGACATTGGGGGAGGGATGGTGACCGGAGGTGGCTCCTCGATATTTCTTACGTTATTTAGCACAGCGGAGAGCGGGGGCGATGGGCTGATAGGCGGCGGTGGTCCCATCTCGTGTGGCGGCGGGAGTCGGATGCGCATATCGTCGTCGATTTTTGGTATCCAGCCGTCCGGCGGGGCTTCAACGGGAGGGTGCGACGGAGACATCATGGGGTTGAACACAGAAACGGGGCGAATGTCCGCTTCCTGATGCATCTGCTCCTGACGAGGTCTGACGGGTGCAGCAGCAGGGGTTGGTATACGTGCCGGCGTTGTCACGGGCGGGGGTATAGGCAGGGTGTCGTCCAGCGGTTGGGTATAGTTCTGCGTGTGTTGGGGTACAGAGTCTTCAGAGGATGATGGTCTGGAAACCCGGGGAGCTCGGTACTCCCGGCGAGGAGTCTCTTCAGCGTATGG